CAGCGCTGGCCCTGTCTCTGCCCCCGTTGCCATCGTTCCCCAGCCAGGCCCAGGGTGCAGGGAGGGTGACAGCCCCCGTGGGGACATCGTGGCCCCAGGAGGGAGGGGATGTCCCCCAGGTGATGGGGATGGGTGCAGCGCAGGTGACAGCGGCCCTGTCCCACCTGCAGATCCCCGGGACCTGCCTCCTGCCCGAGGTGACGCAGCAGGACCAGGGTCGGATCTGCGTGGTCATCGACCTGGATGAGACGCTGGTGCACAGCTCCTTCAAGGTGGGGAGGATGCGAAGAGCGGAGGGAGGGACACAGGGGGGGACGTCTCATCCCATCTGTGAGCTGCCTCGGGGACAAGTGAGAGCTTGGGGGTCCCTGCAGCCTCCCCAGCTCCCAGACAGCTGCTGAACAGGCAGCACCCTGTCCCCCGATGGGCTGCAAAGGGATATGTGTGTGTGTGTGTGCGCGCACGGTCATACACGTGTCTGCAGGAGGGAGACTGTGTCGTGGGCAGGGTGACAGGTATGGAGGGGACACACGCTGTCCCACAGCCCCTGTCCTGCAGGATCCCTGCTCTCCCTCTCCGCTAACGGACACTTTGATTTCTGTTCCCCCCAGCCCATCAGCAACGCTGACTTCATCGTGCCTGTGGAGATTGAGGGGACCACGCACCAGGTGAGAGAGGCGGTTGTGGGGACAGCTGGGGACCTGGGCAGGGGGACAGCAGCGCTGTGAGAGCCCTGAGGCCGTGGCCTGGTTCAAGTAATCCAGGATAGGCTGTTACCATCCCCGGCCTATTCTCGATTACTTGTCCCAGGCACTGAGGACGTGGCTGTGGCAGCAGGTACAGCCAGGGGGACGTGGGGACCACGCAGCACTGAGTCGTGGGGGTCCTGGCACAGGACGGGGGGGCCCCGGTGTCCCACGCCAAGGCTGACGGACCTTCCCTGCCAGGTCTACGTGCTCAAAAGGCCGTTCGTGGACGAGTTCCTGCGACGGATGGGGGAGCTCTTCGAGTGCGTCCTCTTCACGGCCAGCCTGGCCAAGGTGAGCGGCGGGACGGGGCAAACGGTCCGGCTCCCCGCGCTGTGCGTGACCAGCCTGTCCCCCTGTGTCCCCAGTACGCCGACCCTGTGACCGACCTCCTGGACCAGCGCGGGGTCTTCCGGGCTCGGCTCTTCCGGGAATCCTGCGTCTTCCACCAGGGTTGTTACGTGAAGGACTTGAGTTTGCTAGGCCGGGACCTGCACAAGACCCTCATCCTGGACAACTCGCCGGCCTCCTACATTTTCCACCCCGGCAACGCGGTGAGTCCCTGTCCGCCCCAGCCTCGTCCTCCCCTGGCGAGGGCCCCGGGCTCACGCCGGCCCCTCTCATCCCTGCCAGATCCCCGTCCAGTCCTGGTTCGATGACATGGCGGACACCGAGCTGCTCAACCTCATCCCCATCTTCGAGGAGCTCAGCGAGGCGGAGGATGTTTATGCCAGCCTCGGCCAGCTGCGGGCACC